ACACACACGAAGCCGTCGAAGAAGAGGAACCACCTATTCCAGAACGTCTTCCTTTCCCTGATGAAGACGACAAAACCTTCCCGCAGGAAAGTATTTTACGCGGTCTAAGAGGGCGCAAGGTACTTTTAAAAGACTTGTGCACCAAGGTGTCAGCGGCGAGGCGTCTCAACTTCAAATACATGTGAATGTGTAGCAAGAAATGAAACAATTGAACTAGCGAAGTAATTCCACGCGTTGTGCAGCTCAACATCATGTGCTTATCTATTGGGTTATGCCAACACCGTGCGGGCTGTGTTGCTGGCACTACAGATATGTTCATCTTCTCTTTAAGACACTATAGACACCTTTGCATTATCAGAGCTCTTCTGGTGCGCGGAACGGAGCCGCCCCGTTCGTCAAGATCCCCCACTGCACCACGCCGAAGCTGCACATATCTGTCTCCCGGTTGAACCGGCATTCGTTCGGGTTCTTCATGATCTCAGGAGCGTTTCACCGCCACGTGCCTGCGAAAGTCGTCATTACCTCGGACGCTGCGTTGTCTACGATGACGACGCTCTCTGCGATCGACTGCAACGACTGGAGCGACTGCGCTCCTGAGAACTTGCGCGAGTTGTGCTGCTTCTTCACGGTGAAGCCCGTGGCGATTCGAGCGATGCCGAAGTCTGCGATCTTGGCGGTCATGTCGGTGGTCACGAGGATGTTGGGCGCCTTGAGGTCTCGATGCAGGTAGGTCGGCTCGCGGCTGTGCAATAAGGCCAGTCCCTTGGCTGCCTCGAACGCGAGCCGCACCTTCGTGTGCCACTCAATCAGGTTGGCACGCAACACATCTCGAAGGGGTCCCCGCGAGCAGTGTTCACTAGACATACAAGAGGTTAGCACGATACATACATCGCTTTCAGCTGATACAGCAGCACGTACTTGACGAGGCACAAGCTGCCCTTGTATGTGTCCATCTTAAAGAACAACGTGATGTTCGGGTGCCGCAGCTGAGCACCGAGCACCGCCGCTCCACCAAGAGCGTCATGTAGAGCTTGACCCCCCCCATGCAGCTTGGAAGCGTAGACACTTTAGCGCGACAGTGATCCCCAGCCACTGTGCCTTCTACACCATTGCACTGGAGCCTTCTCCGATCTTCACGGCGAGGCTCTGTGTTACCATTCCGGCGATGAAATCTCCAGCCAGCAGTCCGCCCCTGATCCCAAGCACGCTGCCGGAAGCGAGGCCAATATAAGCCGTGCTGCCGGGCATCGCGGCTCCATCTGTCAGCACTTCAGGCGATCCGTCGACAGATGACGACGTGGTGTCGTCGTCGACGACATTGATCTCCTGCGGGGGCTGTACCGTCGTCTCCGTCGTCGTACAGTAGCAATTGCAGCTCAGAATCGTGCCGTAGAGCAGCGCGCTGGCAATGAGCAGCAGGTAGTTCGTCGTCTCCGCCACGGCCCCCACGGTCCTGAGGACGAACACGAGCGTGAAGGGAAGCGTGAACACTGCCGCGCACACGTAGCAACCCGTGCACCTGCGGATGACGTTGCGGCCCTGCACGGACGCGTTGAGCATTGAACGCTTAATGCCGCGCAAGTTGACGAGGATGATGAGCGGCGGCGTGGCCTGCATCACCAGCACCAGCGCCGCCGTGACCTTGTATGCCGCGGACGCGTCGTCGCGCAGTGTGGGCAGCACGGCGTGCATGCAGCCGTAGACGAGCGAGGCTAACCCCGATAGCAGCAGACTGCGCCGCACATGCAGCGTCTCCAGATTGCCCAGCCGCATGAGCAGCGACAGGTTGGCGATCCAGTACCCGGACATGAAGAAGCAGAAGCGCGCGAGCAGCGTCAGCAGCAGGCCCGCGGGGTCGTAGCGGCTTTCGGAGGCGTCCTGCTCTTCCTGCCAGTAGCGCGTGAAGTACGAGGCGCGGCGGAGCTGCTTGAGTGCCTCGAGCAAGTCAAGTCAGCGAGCGCGATGCCGCTCAGACGCATGTCGGCCATGCGGCGCTTGACGCGGGAACGTGGCCGAGTGCAGCAGCAGATACAGCACGCTCACGGTGGCTGCGCCTAGCAAAACCTAACCGTCTTGATAACTGCAGACTCAAGCCGGTCGTCACCTCCAGTGCGCGCTACTTCGTCGGAAACTCCGCTCGATACATCGACGGAGATATCGGTTAGGCGCATACGGCGTTCTGAAGCACACCTGGGAAAGAGGCTTCTAATCGAGCATCCATAGTAATCCATCTGGAGAGACTACACTAATTCATATTCAATTATTGGGTTTTCTGAGTAAAATAAAAATGTACTTTATTTTTATTTTATTTTATTTTTTTGAATAAAAATCCTTCGATATTTTTACTGCCAACACTGTTCTGTGCGCATATTTTCACCACGCAGTTTCTGGATCACCAGCAACAACTGCGTTCATCATCACGTCTGAATTCCAGTGAACCACATGACTACCAACAGTACTTAGCTCCATCTTTTTGGTCTTAGTTTCGCCATCATTAGCCATTACTTTTCTCTTCTTTAGGATCTTGCCGTCTCTTCCTTTATAACTAGCATCATTAATCAGTAGAATATGGAGTACTGGTAAATTTCCTGCGCTTACTACGTATTTGACTACTTCGCCAGCCACTTCCAGACCCGAGAAATGAGCGAACAACCACTTGACTATGGCTAAATTTTTACTGCGTGTAGTATCTCCAAGTGATCTGGTAAACTGGTCGCGAAAATAGTACGGATCGGATCATATATACTCGTGACGAGACCATGTCGATGGCCGATTGGCTGCAGACATGCAGCTCGATTCCCAGATCCAATCCAAAAGCTTGGTGGAGCCGAAAGTGTTAGAATGTGCAATCGGCAGTGTCAAATATCAAGTCTGAGGGGGCAACGACTGGGGGCACTTAATAGTGCAGTGGTCTAACGGTGCGACAGTCTACAGGTATGTAGATAATTTTAAGTTCGAGCCCCGGTGGCGCCTCCCTTTTTCAACAGAAAAAACACGCTTGGTTGAGTGATATACATGGCAGTGGTCTTAAAGAGCTGGTGATTAGACCTAAACGTGCTGCAGCACCCCTGATTCTCACTGACCTCGCAGCACCGCAGTAACGATCTCTAACGACATCATTTTCAAGGTAAATTTAGTTTTTTTTACAAACGTTAATTGCTCAATTTAGCTAAGTTCTAAGTTTTGCTTTTTTAAAAAAGAGGAAATTGCCCCAATATCTTGGGGACAAATACTCAGATTTTAAAGCTGACGGCAGCATGGGAAAGCTCCTGACACGGACTACGTACTCAAGGTTTTATAGGGCACCACGGTTTGATTGTAAGAAGTCTCAGCTGAGACCAAAAAAAGTCATCAGATGTGGGTAAAAATTGGCCATCCTAGGATGAAATGACAGTGTGCGGACCACATCAAGTAAATTTCCGTTGTCTACTGCATTTCATGTGGGACAGAGAATTACTGCCTCTGTCCAATCAACCAGACACGGACAAGGAGACCTTCCAGTAGTACGCCGTTTAATGCGTAGTCTTCATCATTGCTGTATAAAAGTCGCCGTATGACTTGAGAAATGCCATGTCCGGATAGATTATCCAGCCCTCTTTTTTTCGACTCAACATCTTGAAAAGACTTTCAAAAGTTTCTCCTTCCTTCAACCAACGTGCGAATTGCGCTACCTGCAATTCTTCGGCAATTTTTTTCGTTTCTGGGAACTTCTTTCCCTCTTGAAGTAGTAACCCAAGGTTTACATCATCGTAGTAATGAGATAGCGTCGCGAGGAGTGTTGCTTCCTTTCGGGGGTTTGCCAAATTAAACACCTTCAAATAGCTGGCAAAAGCTCTCAGCTTTGGGTCACTTAGAACCGCCTTGTTCGGTTTGTCAAGCATGAGTAACTTGAAGACATCGTCGGGCGATTTCTTCTTTGACGACCATAGCTTGTTCTGTTGACTCTGCAATTTCGTCGCAATACTTTCCGTACTTGACACTTTCTTCGCTGCTTCGATCATCTCTGAAAGGGTCGCTTCATTGTATCGCTTTGCCAGCAACGAGAACAGCGAGACTGCTTCGTTAGGATTGTTCCTGTTGAATTCATCGACGTATGAAGTCCAGGTAGTGAACCGCGACCTCTTGAAAAGCTTGGACCCTGTTTTGTCCAGTTTTAGCAACTTGAACACATCATCGCCCGATTTTCCAGTATCCATCCAAACCCGCCTCTGCTGAGCCTGCAACAGGATGGCGAGACCTTCAGTGTTCGAGACTTTCTTGGCCGACGCGATCATTTTAGCCAGCGAGTACGGTGTGTACTGCGCCATCAACTTCGACAAGACGATCTCCTCGGGGTTCTGCTTTTCGACCTTGGTCACATAGACCACCCAAGTTATAAACTTCGGGTCTTCAAATATCTTTTTTCCTGCCGTATTCAGCTCTAGTGTCTTGAAAATATCGTCCGTAGTTTTCCGTTTGAGCAGCCATGTCTGAATTTTTGCGCCTTGAGCTAGTTTTGAAGTTCCCGACTTTAAGATACTCGCGATTTTTTCTGTCCAACGATGAGCAATAATTCTCTCTTCACTCTTTGCGTTTGTACGCACTTGTACCATTGTTTGGTTGAATCGAAAGCTGTGAGCCGAAGGAATGGGCCTTGGTTGGGTAATCTGAGCATCCGTGTTTGCCGACGTCACACCAATACTTACAATAAGCGCGACTGTAGCGAGTAATACAAAGCTGTTAAATCGCACCAGAGTGCTCTCGGACTTCTTGAATATGTTGTTCATGTCGGGAGCGGTACAACGTCAAATGCGAAATGCGTACTTCGCACTGCGAGGACAAGTACATGGCGGTAGACTTAGAGCATCATCGTTGATCAGTACCTGCGTCTTTACTACCGCCTTTTCGGATAGGCCTGATAGATTAATACCCTTCTCTATGTACTGTCACTCTGTATGTCCGCAGCGAACCTATAAAAATAAGACCACACTGGAACGATTGTTAGAAAGCAAACCAAGTCTTGAACGATATGATATTAGTACCGAGACAGATAACCCTTTGACCCTTTCACTTAAACCAAAATTGAATAAAACAAAACAGTTTCGTAAGCTAAGCCTGATCCACGCTCTGGCGTGCGCCTACAACTACTTGAATCTACATTCTAACGCCTGATTAAGATAACTTATTGACTAACCACAACGCAACTTCTCATGAAAAATAGCTTCCAATTTGATAATAATGTCAAGCGACAGTGAAATATTGAGAATTAGGACCTGTTCACACTTTTAGATAATATGAACAATTCCAGTAAAAAATGATGATGAAGTACTCTTGTTTCCATGGAAAACTCTTCCCTATAAACAGCCGGGATACAACACATCCTGGTCGCTGGCAGTTCAACTTGAAATTTCAAGAAAAGAAGAGACATCGTTCTCCCTGTGAACTGACATTTTTTTTTACGAGTAGTAGTTTTGGTGTAACAGTTATCGTTATTGAGAATACACTAACCCGCTATGTACAACAGTATTCTACATATTATCATTATAATATTTCTATAGAGTGTATGCATTAGCAAAAATTACCGGTCGAGCTTTTAAATGGCTCGTAAGTCGCTCTTAATTACTTGTGTATCTTCATAAGAATAGCCACATGATTTAATAGTTAAACTGAACAGTATCCTGCATGCAGCTGTTACATGTTATAGAAGGGTTTTGTGCCAGAGGAAGGTAGTCGTTTGTTATGATGGCAGCTCAAATATGCTGAACCCGTAATCTTAAACCAGCATAATCAGCCACTTTTAAGTGATTCCTTTTTAGCCTCGATGGAGACTTTTAAAAAGCCAACAAATCAACAATTAGAGTCCATTACAGTTTTTTTAGAGAGTCGCACTCAAAAAGCAGAGCTGGGCTCCTGCTACTGTTGCAACGCGCAGGCAGCTACGACAGACGCCCCAATTACCGTAAAAACTGCTATCAAGAACTATACAACCGAGAGCGGTAAGTTAATCATCAAGACGGGTGACATCTGTCGACTTAGGTTGTTCGTCGTTTGCGTGTTGGTAGCACGGCCAACCACAAAGAGACACAATTTGCGCTGGCATACGTCAACCTACCGCAACTGACAATATCCTACACTCTGCCTGCCAGTAAGAGCTCCATGGTCGCAGACAATCTGAGCAGGACTCATACGACAATATCAGATAACTCCACCGCTGAAAATGCACAGCGATCGCACCGTATTCTCTCTTTCAAACCGAAATGAAGATTACAATTTCTCTGGGTGCTCGTATGTGTAAGCAGTTTAGCTTCATTCTGTTCATCTTGGGCGGGGAAATGAGCAAAGACTACCCCGACAGAGTCGCTATCCACTGAGTCACTGATCCAAATTTAACAAGTACGAACTGAATCCGACAACAGAGAGCGGGATTATTGATGGAATGCACTTCGATGGTGTTCAAATCAGTATCACTCTACGATTCGGTCTATGTTGTTAATAGTAGGGTGCCATGCTACTGAGTATGTCGGTCCAAGGATGACGTTACATGTAGAATTGTAAACATGATTATGTTAAATAATGATGACGGTGCATCCTTAGGTTCTTTAAAAACATACGAAGCGAGTCTACACAGCATTCCCGCTCTAGTTTTGTGAATTAGTTGTGTGTAGGTTTGAGCGGTTATGGTGGAAGCACTTTTCGACTCACACACACACAAAGTAATCTCTAAGACTACTGCCAATGAGGTCCATCTACCTTGGACTGCTCCTATAGTTTTCATGGTATGTATCGACAGAGTTGTGACAACAAACGTGATGACTATTCACTGGCCACCTGCAGACGATTATTGCGACACCCCTAGCAGGTCGTTAAGGAGTACCGAAAACATTAAAAGGGGCAAGAGGGGCTACCGAGATGATATCAAGCCTGGTTAAATCGGGTACATCCAAAATCGCCGGGGTCGTGACATCGAGAGCCCATTTGGCGAGTGCAGATGGTGTGTACGCCCTGAACAAGATTAAACTGGGCGAGACAGCGCTGGATGCTCTGGAAAGTCCAAACCTGAAAAAGCTGGCCGAGTACATTTCTGAATACAATTCGAGGCATCTGGGCAAGACTATCTCGTTGCTTAGAGTTCTTACGACTCGGTATGCTGACGATGCTGTGGCGAAAGCCCTCGTAACTGCGATGGGGCGCACCAACACGGCTGAATTGGCGACAAAACTGCAAAAGCAGCAGATGAATGGTTGGCTGGACAGCCAGAAGTCCTTTGATTATGTTATGGGAAAACTGAAGATTGCTGACGACTGGAACCTAACTATGTCGAGTCGGAGCTTGGACGCGTTGGACGAATATATCAAGCTATTCAACGTTCGATACCCACTAGCTAAAACCGATATCACGACGGAACTTGCAAATCGTTTCGGTGGCGAAGCCAAATTCGCCCGTTTAGTTGCAATTGCTTTGCAAGTGCCACAGTCAAGACGAGTGTACGTCAAAGCGGAAAAATTCCAAAATGCTCTGTTTAAGCAGTGGAAGGATCGCAATTTAGACCCTATGGGTGTTCTAGTCCAAGTCGTCAATGTGAAGGAGACTAAGGTGGTTTCTGCTAGTTCTGCCTTGAAAAATGTTCTCGAGCGTTACAAGAGAGTGGCCCCGTCGAATGTATTTTTGTAAATCCACGTCATTCCTAGTTGGTACTAAAAGTGCGAAAACGATAGCAGTATTCGTTTTCGCTAGGACCTTTATCTGAATGGGTTCAAGAGACGATTAGACTCGGAGGAGACGTAGCACAAACATTGAAAACAATGTTGGTCTGAATAATGCAAAATGCATATTGCATTATGTTTAGTTAAATTTTTATTTCGGGTAATAGAATTGGGTAATAGAATCCATTTACTTACAACTACGACTTGTGCTATCTTCTGTAGCAGAGGATGATGGTTAGTGGAGCTGACTTGGTAGCGTATGATCCATTGTCGGCTTGTCCTCATGTCCCACGGCAATTCCTAAATTAGAGACTGCCTTCACCAGCACAAGTCATGGTGTAAGTCGTCATTGGCAAATTATTTATCACAGCAAATGGCTCGATATAATGGTCTATAGACAACTACTTTTTCTAATCATGAGTACCCACGAGATCCTGCCTTGCGCCATAAATTCGAATTAGATGATGTCCTTCCGCTTAACTAAAGCTACGAGCTATTAAGAATCCAGAACGAGATAATTGTGATCTTAGTAGGGGGAAAGTTGCATGACCATTCGAAAAATTGGATAGGCCAAAAGCTGACATGCTTCTTAGAATAAAGAAGTTATATTTACCAATTTCCAACTCATGAATACCAGCACATGGTGTGTCGAGTTATCATGCCAATAATCCCTAATACTGAGGCGCATGTCTCCAAGATGTTTGACCCCAGATCTCCTCATGATTCTGGTGCTTTATCTGCTGAGTTAGCCACTACTCGGCCATGTTGCCGTCATCCGATCCGCCATCGGGCTGCTGATATGCGCCCAAAAATTAACACGGACACAGTTACAGACAGGAGGTCAAGTTTTTGCTGCTAACACATCTAACTACCGAAATATCCTCATCAAACTGCAGATGGACTGCAGCTTACGTCAGCTGGCACACGTTCTATCGCCTAGAACAAGATAAAAATTGTACAGTACGCATTCGCCATCACAGCCCCCC